TTTGAGGATCATCATGATTGTATGCCCATACCAGGTTTCTGTTTGCATCTGATTCTAATTGTTTGCTAATGCTTTAACCTGCCAAGAGGTGATGAGTGGTTTCTTTAAAATGAAGCCCTGGGTAAATGGGCAGATAAAGTTATTTCTGCTATTTTATCAGACTTCATCAGGATGGAGGGTCTCTTAACCCAGTGCCAGTAGCCTTCCTTCAGTGTACCATTGTGACCTAGACCCATTTCAGACAGCACACCTGGCTTCTTCCAGACTTTCCCTGAACTCTGGCCCAAAAGACAAAGTCACTCAAGAGGGAACATTGCTCCATAACCTCTGCCAGACCGGACACAAGTAGAACAAGGAGGAGAGCAGGGTGCCCCAGATGCTTTTGAGGGATGAGCTCAAAGGATGAATCCTTTAAACAGAAGGTTGATGCTTTCTTTAAAGCAGGAATCACCAGTTCAAGCAAAGTGGCACAGATGTGAACTAATAACCATGTCACAATTGGAACAGCCAGATGGGATAGCCAGCAGGTCCCCGTAATAAATGATAGCCTGTTCTTAAGCCAGGTCTAGGAAACAGTCTACAAACAAGACATTCTGAACTGAAGGTGACCACAGTCACAGTTTGGAAAATAGTCTCCACATGTGCCACAAAAGAGGAATTGGTAGTTGAGAAACAGGCTTGTTAATGACACACCCACGCTGTTTGCTATTAATCAATGTCAATATGTCAATTTGACAGCAATCTCCAACTGAAGAGTATAAGCCAGTCGGTATCAATGAAAATCCAACAAAAGTGTACAGTCCATAAACAAAATGTTGGCACTTTATCTTGAATCTAATTTTTGTTGATTTGACTCGTAGTAGTGAAGCCAGTGCTTACTTAGCACATGAAAATACTACTCAGAAAGCTGGAAAGAAGATACTTCCAGTTTGTATTTATTCTTTTATTTAAAAAGTAAGTTTTGAGTATACCACTGGATAAATAAACCATCAGGATAAAAATAAAATTCGATATATGCATAACATACCAATTTGGAGATCCATTGTCACTAGCGAATTTGTGGCTGCTATTGACCTTCAGAGACTAAAATGTCATAGAAACAGAAACGAAAACTATTATGGATTTATTTTGTACCTTCAGATAGTATTATAGCTATGCTTTCTTGGGACTGGTAAAATTCCAATATTCATATATCAAAGAAAAATGTTGAATATGATTTCTGGAACTACCCGGGTACTCAGACCAACTGCAAGTTGACCTTTACAGAATCGGGGTATGGCCTGAATGTTTGTATAAAGCAAGCTAGTCAAGCTTCTAGTGACTACTTTTCCCCAAGCTCTTCCTACATTTTTATTTCTTGCATATGAAGAGCAGAAGGAAGAAAGCAGCTCTTTCATATAAAAGAGCACTATTCTTCATTCTTCCTTAAAGAACCCCACCTCACCCCAGACTGGTCCAGTCTGACTTTCAAAGGTGTGGCTTCCCAAAGAGGAAAATGTCCAGTCATCCTGGGAATCTTTCAAGTTTATTTATGAAATCTGAGCTATGAACACTAAATGGGGAAATTCCATGATAGTATGGTTTGGAGACTATTGTTTTCTATACAAATGCAGGTAAGCCCCTAGAAGCAAAACAACTCATAACGCATAACTCAGCTGTGAGATATCTGGTGATAGAAATTAGTCTATTTAAAAATCACTTTGGGGGGGGGGGCAAGGGCAACATACGTAACCTAAACATCTGTACCCCCATAATGTGCTGAAATAAAAATAAAAAAAAAATCACTTTAGTGACCACCTGCCCACTGGAAATCCAGAAAAAAGGCTGGTGTCTGGAGACCTCACATGGACACCTGTATTTCCTCTCTCCTACCTCTCTTTAAGCCAGTTCTAATGGTAGGGACCTTAAAGCAATTTCTCAGAATGGTCTTGGACATGCCCACTTCTCATTAGTTGGTTGTCTGTCTTATTGCTTGACAACATATCCCATATTCTCCTAAGAACATTTAGTGATGCAACTGTTATAGATAAACTCCTGGAATGGCAAGTTTGGAAAGACTGAGGGTAGACAAAGACAACATGGAGATTCATCATAAACTTCTGCTCATGCACTTCTGGGTGACTGGGCCAGGACACAGTTGTCACCTGACCCTCTGAGCAAGAAAGGTTCATGGGGAAAGTTATCAAGTTGGCAAAGTTTGGGCGCCCTCTGTCTTTACAGGAGGACTTCTCTAGGTATGACCATTTTTACGCTGGTGTTCACTGCCTGGTCACCTTGTTGCCTTGGCATTGCATGGCGTTTTGCTCTTCTTCCCTGTGTCATCCCCTACTTTAAGTTCAGCTCCATCTTCATTCTCCATCAAAAGACCCCATGCAAGTCTACAAGCACCCACTATGTGTCAGCAATGTGCGAGGTGTCTTGGCAACTGTGGTTGCCAAGACAAACATCTATGATACCATCAACATCTATGATACTATTATTAGTATCTATGGAAGTCATGGGATCTCACACTCAGTCTCTGTACCTCAACGGGCTCTTTCCATAGAAAAGAAATAATAGAAAAGGTTGTTCCAGGAACATCTTCAGTTCAACTTACGTGTTATAATCACCCTATGGTAGTCACTTGATCTCAGAAGGGAAAATGACCAATTTTGCCTGGGTAAGCTGAGAAACGCATCAGAGAAAAGATGACACATTAGATGGATTTCGAAGAGTAAGTGGAGCTCCCACTAGGGCAAAAAGATCTATGTAGAGGAAAGAGCACATATGTCAGGGAAGCCTAAAACAGCATTTCTCCCAATCCCTCTGGAAATTTCCAGAATTAACCAGAGGCCACTGGAACTAGAACCAAGTTGCCTCATGCCCAAGTCAGTGGCCTTTTCACTACCTGCTATTAGGACCATGCCCTTTGGGATGCAGTCTCTTTAGGTAAAAGCAAATTTGGCAAATGATTATGTGCCCCTGTTTTAGCCTTAAATTTCAGTTTCTCTTTCTGCTCCATAATATATCTTTGATAATACAAAGTTTGAAATTACAATTTAAACTTTTAACTTTCCACCAAATCTTGAGTAAGATGGACTCTGCCAAAACACTCGTTTTACTGTGTCTTCTGACAACTTTGGGAATAAAGACATTCTGGTTTGAGAAGAAAGGCAACCTGAACAATGTGACCTCTGATGAAGGGCAAAGATCGTTCATCAAATGTCTTCTTCAACATTAAATGCAAAAAATCATCTTTGAGCTGACGATTTAATACCTTCAAAAGTTTAAAACCTCACCATTCTAGCACAATAAAGAAGCTAATATATCAACTTACATGAAATTGTGATATACACTCTGTATAGTAAAATGTGTTGACCCTTATGGTAAAATATGTTGACCCTTAGGTTGAAGGAAGCATGTTTAAAATGGCCTTAAATATGCTAAAAATACTCCTCTAACTTAAATCTGAGCAACTGCTCCTACATTCTTTGGATGCAAATCATATCTCTCCACTTGTACATTTTTCTGTTCTGTCAAATGCACCATCTAGACAGCACTGCCCAATAAAAACACAATGCAAGACACATATAATTTTAAATTTTCCAATAGCCACATTCAAAAAGTAAAAAAGAGTAAAATTAATTGAATAATACATTTTATTCAACCTATTATATCCAAATTATTATTTAAACTTGTAATCAGTACAAAAAATATCAACATACTATTTTACATTCTTTTTGTTGTTGTATTAAGGCTTCAAAATATGATACCTATTTTACACTTACAGCACCCCTACGTTCAGACACTAAATTTTCAATGGTTAATGTAAAATGTAATCCTATCAAAATAATAAATTTGTGTCTAGTGGAAAACATTTTACAGTGCTATAGTTTTAGAAGTTAAATTAATTAAAATTAAATAGAATTAAAAATTCAATTCCTCCACTGTACTAACCACATGTAGCTAGTGGCTACAGTATTGGACTGTGCTGATCTAGAAGTTCAAGTGATATCAAACAAAACATGGGAAGCATCAACCTTTGCTGCCAGCAAAGCATGAGGGGATTATGTTTAAGGAACGGTCTGAGCTGAAGCATGTAAAAGGTGATAGAGAGGTAAAAACATAAACTTTGGATTAAAAGTAGATTATTTCTTTTGTTTTTTTATCTGAGACCTCTTTAAGTTTCAATTTTCTCTTCTGTAAAGTAATAATACCTGCATTGTTGGGCTCCTAAGATTAAATGAGATAACCTAAATAGCAGGCTTAGCACAATATCTAGTACATTCCAAAGATTCAATAAATTATAACTAGTTTTATTTGTATCTATGGAAGTCATAGGATCTGTTGGCATTTAGGTGTGGGCAACCTCTGAGCAGGTTATAATTTAATTAATGACTTGTGGGATGTAGGGTAGGAAGAGAGAAGATTTGTGGTATTTTTTGGAAATTTCATTGCATTATGAAATACAGATAGAAAAGTGCACCAATCATAAGCGTACGGCTCAATGGATTTTCACAAAGCAAACATACTTGTGTAACCAGCACCCAAATTCAGAAACAGAACAGTCAAGAGAATCTCAAAACCTTTCTCGAGCTCCTAACAAAAGTAACCACTAGCTTGGCTTCTAACACTATAGATTCATTTTGTCTGTTTGCAGACTATATAAATGGATTCACACAGCCTGTGCTCTTTCAAATGTCTGACTTCTTTCATTCAGCAACATATTTGTGAGATTTATTCATGTTGTTGTGTGGAATGGTGGTTTGTTCTTTCCCAGTGTTGGTATAAATACCACACAATTTATTGATCCATTCTACAGTAGATAAACATTTGGTTTGTTTCTAGATTAGGGGAATGACAAATATTCCTGCTATGCACACGCTTGTGCAGGTCTTTTGGTAACGTGTATGTACTGGAATTTGAGTTTTCATTTTGGTGATGTGTATGTACTGGAATTTGGGTTTTCAATGTTGGGCTTGTTGCAAAGAGAAGGCTCACTCCTATAATTTCATGTGTAGGTGCCTTGGATAAGCACAAGGAGTTGGAGGACCTTGTGGCTAAGTTCCTGAATGTAGAAGCAGCTATGGTCTTTGGGATGGGATTTGCAACTAACTCAATGAATATCCCTGCACTAGTTGGAAAGGTGAGAATTTGTTAACATAATTGTCTTCTATTGTATCATTCCTAAGAATTATACTTTAAGTGGGTCCTTGTTAGAAGTACAGCTGAGAAGGTCCTTTTTAAGGAGAAACAAATTGGATATCTAGATTTTTCAATAAATGTGTCAGCTTAGTCTGGCAAATCTCTTCATCATAATATTACTGATTATACACTTGCAGCCCTAGATGTGGGTCAAAATTCATCTTTGATGATATTTTAATGAAATCAATCAAATTTTTAGGCTCCTAAATCCCCATAAGCAATGTAGCAAATATTTATTAAGCCCTTATTTAAAAAAAACATTTTTCCTATGTTAGTCATTCATTATTCAATAAACCGATTATTGAGAACCTACTATGTCCTGATATCAGGCAAGATACAGGACATACAAAGATGAACAAGACCTGTGCCTTGTAGATTTCTGTAGTTTACAGTGTAATAGGGGAAATAATACACTAAACAGGATGAATACCACAACAAAGGCATACACCTGGATGAGGAAGGACAAAAGAGTTGCCCTAAACTCTTCCTGAGAAGGTCTGCAAAGTCTGGGCAAAAAATAGTAACATGAGAATAGAATTTTAACAGGAAGAAAATTACTTCCTTAAGACAAAGAAATGGGAACAGCATATGTAAAGTACATAGGTTTAGAGGAACTAGAACATAAGATAGCGTTTGAAGGAGAGACCATTGATGAAGGCAGGGACAAATTGCAAAGAGTCTTACAATATAAATTACGCCAGAGTTTCTGAAAACTGTTCCTGAGAAGAATAGGAAGTTTGGTTGGTTCATTGTAAGTGAGTAAGTGCAATAATCAAATTTATATTTTTTAAAAATCTGACTCATGACAACTACATGAAATGTATGATCTTAGATCAAGTTCTGCATTGAAAAATATAGAAGGAAATATAAAATTTTTAAAAGATAGTAAGACATTATTAGGACAATTGAGGAAATTTGAGGTTGAACTACATATTAGATGGAAAGTGTTGTATAAATATTGAACTTCTTGGATGTGATCATTGCCTTGTGATTTTTGTAGGTGAATGTCCTGTTCTTAGGAGATACATGATAAAGAATGTATAGATGAGGTATGAGGTTTACAAATAACCCTCAAATGTTTCAACAGAAAAATTATAAATATACACACACATGTCTACAGTATGAAGATATGGGAAGTTTTTCTTGTTCTTTCCTCAAAAACTTAAACACATCATGTGTTAAATTACCAAAATATAAGGGAAAACTCAAAGATTCTGTGTGGTCATGGAAGAAAAATGTCCCCAATAATTTGTCTCCACATTTTTGGTAAAATTAAACAGTTTTACAATTTAGAAATTTTTACATTAAAAACGAAAAATAACTTCAAACAGTTATTTCTATGCAGCAAGTTAGACTGTCTGTATCCACTTACCTCAGACTGAATCGCCATCCATATAATTCCAGATTCAAAGTGTTTTCTGTCTATGTGGGGTGTTAATATAGCAGAGAAAGAATCAGAAAGTAAGAGCTTGAAATGTCCTGCCCAAAAGACTCTCCTTTTGAGTAGGAATAACCAAATCCATCCCAAATATTAAATAATTTAAAATGGATTTGAAGACTCCCAGCAAGACTGTAACTCACCCCCAAATATATCAGTTTTCATCTCAAAGATCAATCCTTTAGATTCTACTTGGTACTTAACCAAAATCTTAGATGAACTTTTCTGCTGAAATCCATACATAAATGTTCCAGTAAAGATGTTAACTCTTAGTATAATTCCCATCTCCATCAGCTAATTGCTATATAGGATTTTATCTATATAGACATCAGATTAAACTCTTGGCCTTTTAAAATTAAAGAGGGCTTCAGGAGCCTGTGGTATAGGTTTTAGAGTGTCTTCCTGTTCCCACAAGTTGTTTTTCCTTCATTTTCTTCATTGGCTTGTGTTTTGTGTGCTTGTTTTCTGCACAGGGATGCCTCATTTTAAGTGATGAGTTAAACCACACATCTCTTGTGCTTGGGGCACGACTCTCGGGTGCAACCATAAGGATCTTCAAACACAACAGTGAGTATCAATATATTTATTCAACATGTACCAACTTGCTCCTAGAAGAAAGTAAAGATTATTGATGGGCCTTTGTTCTTGCTCTTCAAAACTGGCAACGTAGCCTCATGGAACACAATTATGTTTATTTATATTCACTGCTGGCTTGTTAACCTCTGGTGACCTGGAACAAATGGTTGAAGTGCATTAAACATCCAGATTGTTAAGTGTAACCCAAACACATTAACGTCACTGTTAGTGGTCTTGCAATGTGGCCTCTGAAGACATGATTGATCTCTTAGGGCTGCCATTTAATTATCAGAAGTGTTATAACTCTTTCTTTTCTATAACTCTGTCTTGGAAAGTTTGAAGACGTAAGCTTTGTGTTATATTTAGGTATAAAGTGAGCTTGTTCCTTAGTATAATGCCTTCTTTCACTATGCCCACCCACAGAATGCTCAGATACCCACCCGCCGAAACTTCACTGAAAGGTCCTTTCAGGCTCCGGGTTGTGTGGTTGGGTGGTGAGGAGGAGGCAGAAGGCTATTTCTTGTTTAGGGATTTGACAAGGCAGCATGGAAAGTATCAGGAAACATTTTGAAGGAGGTAGGGGGTAGGTGGACACCTGAGCTCTCTTGTCCAGCTCTGCCCCTGACTGTTATGTCACTTTGTGCAAATCCTGTAATCTTTCTTGCATTCAGTTCCCTCATCTGTAAAATGAGGGTGTCAAACTATACGATGTGTGAGGAACCTCCCAGTTAAAAAGTTTTGATTCTAATTCATTATTGTGAGGAGGGAGGCAAGATGGCAGACGAGAAGCACCTCCAGCGAGAACGTCTCTGCAAGAAGGAGAAATTTTAGATGAAAGAGAAAAAAACAAACAGACAAACATAAATCAGATGAGATTCGGAAGCAAGGGTGCCTGAACCTACAGGAGACTCCACAGGAAGAGGTTGTGGAGCAGTAACTGAAAGGAGAAAGGCATCGGCAGGGATTAAGCTCTATCAGAGAGGCTTGGAGACCAGCGAGAAGGGTAGGTCGAGCGGTTAAAATTCCCCTCCCTTGCCTATCGGATTGCTAGTGGGCTCCTGAGCTGCTGGAGAGACCTACAGACACCAGCCCAGAGACTGCTGCTGCCAGTGAGCGGAGAGTCTCTTGCAGACAGGGCACCAGGCTCCCAGCTCCCTCAGGGCACCTCCGGCCCCACGGACCCCAGCTGGTCATCAGGCACCATATTGCCTTTGTCCTGCCTGGGGGGTCTCAACTCCTCAGGATTCATCTTGCGAGACAATTTAACCACACTGCTTGGAGACATCCACGGGGAATGGGGCTCGGACCTTTCCTTTTGGGCCCCTGCAGTGGACTGAGGGGTGCTCGGACTGTGAGCTCCCTACCCACCGGCCCTTCCTGGTGCTGCTTGCCCCATGACTCCAGCAGAGCAGAGCAAATCCCAAGGCAGAGGGACATTGATCCAGCGTGGGCACCCCATGGGTGACTTGGGACCAGCATTCTTCTGCCTGGCATGGTCAGGGATTTATCTCCAGGGCCTGCAGGCCAGATCCCTTACACCCAGGTCTCAATCACATTGCCCAGGGCCACACAGGGGATATCTGTGAATTAGTCTACTGAGGTGTGTGTGCCTTCAGGGGCAGATCAGAGTGGGTCCTAGCTGTGTTGTGCTCCAGGGGCAACCCTCCTCCCATGGGAAGGCCACACTCCCTGCTCAGGCTGGGATCCTGGGCAGGAAACCTCCGCCTGCATCCCAGTCATAGGAGCCCAGTTGGCTTGAGGTCCTGCCTGCTGGCAAGCAGAGGCCCTAGGAAAAACCGCAGAATAGGGGAGGATGAAAAGGAGTGAGGCCTGCTCAAAACTGCCAGACTGTGGGTCTCAGACAGCCCTGCCTCCACACCCATACCTTCTGGTTGAGTGGGGCCACTTCAGCCCCTCCCTGACAGTTTTGCCAGAGGCAGGGAACAGACCCCACTAAAAGCATTTGTGGAGCTTGAGGGCAGGCTCACCCAACCCATCCCCACCCAGCCTCACTCCCCCACTGGCCGCTGCTAAGGTGGAGAATAAGGACACACTTGGAAGTCTCAGGGCCCCACGCACCACCTGAGGCACTAGAGTGCCTCTCCAAGGGAAGGAGAGGTGGTTACAGGACCCCAAAACAACACTGCAGCTTGCTCCTCCTGGCAAATGCGACCTACTGACTCATCATACAGGGTGTGGTCAATTCCCACCCACAAGCACCACCTACTGGCTCAGATATTAAACTGGGCGTGTCATTATCTAAACACAAGTCCAAAGGTAAGAAGTAATAGCTGCTCCAGTTGGGAAGGAATCAGTGAAAGAACTCTGGAAGTATGAAGAATCAAACTGAAAGGACACCCTCAAAAGGGAACACCAGCTCTCTAGCAATGGATACCAACCAAAAGCAGAACACTAATTCATTATTGTCATTGAAATCTCCCTTCTTTCTGTGTGTGGGTACACGTGTTTTCTCTTTCTTTCTTCTTGCCACCTTTCTCTCCTGCCTTCCCTTCCCCTTCAATTTTGCTGTTCCCCTTCCTTGGCTCTCCCCTCCATCCTCCAAGAAGATAACAAAAATTGAACTGAGGAGGAGACAGATGGAGAACTGAGGATCAATTATTTCTGTTCTGTTCTACCCACTTCCCAGCAATCTCAAACCAAAGAACAATTGTCTTCTGGGGAGGAAACAAAGTACACGGGAGTGTTCTAAAGTGAACCCCCTCGTCTAATTTGCAGAGTTGTTCAAATGAAGAATCTACTGCTCTCACCAAGTGGGGTGAGGTCTGGCTATGTCTTACTGAACCTCTTTCAGCATCTGTGTGAAGATGAATGCTCTGGAGTGAAGTTCAGAGGCAGGCCCTCTGGAAGAACCAGACTATGGGCACCTCAGACTTAAAGCTCAACTACAACATCTAGCTCAATGTCAATTCAAAATACATTGGCCTCATTTATTAATTTTGCATCAAGACCCAATCATCGCTTTAGTCTTTGATCAGCCAAGTTAAATTCCTCTAATTCTGTTGGATTTATTATTGATTGTCACATCTAGACTCAGATTATTTTGGCAATGTTGGGAATTCATGTTTGGAATAGACACCATTTAGAGTTTCGAGAAATAAGTTTATTAAGAGACCACAAAAAATGCTTTCGGTATTAGCACAAGTGTACTGTACCATTTTGATTCTCTACCATGACAGATGATTAGTGAACAAAGGCTCTGTCTACTTGGGAAAGTACAAAGGGGATAGTTGACAAGAATTCAACTGTAGTTCTATCCACATATGTGGTTAAACATGATAATCTCACTTCTAGAGGGAGATATAGTCAGGTTGTTATCTATTTGGAACAAATGAATGGGATTATTGTCAATGTTAACCTCTCATTTCTTCACTTCATTCTACTGTGGGCAGTGGACTATGATGCTAGTTGCATAATAGAGGCACCTAGGGAACACTGTAAAAGATCGATGACTGTGCCCACCTCCAGACCAACTGGGTCCAAATATCTGAGTTGGGGCCAAGGCATCTGCATTTTTTCAGAGCTCCCCAGATGATGTATAATGAGAGATACTAGACCTAGAATCTTATTTTCCAACCTCCTTTAATCAAGCTGTCCCTGAATCTTGCCAGTGTGCCCTGCGATATATCCCCAGACACAATGCCATATTAACTATCTTCACTCTTCCCCTCACTGCTCTTTTATACTCTTGATCTAAAGTTTGCAAATGGAGCAAAAAAATGCAAAGAAATTGTTTCAAGCCAAAATTTATTGAGCATTCATTGAACATCTATTCTGATTCAGGCACTATGTTAGGTCTTTGGAGTACTACAAAAATTATTATGTAATATCTTAGCTATATGAAAGCATACGATCTAGTAGGAAAGGCAGGTACGTATACCAATAACTGTACAAAGTAAAAAGGGCCTTGGTGATATCCAGCAGTGGTTCTGAATGCAGACTCTGGCCACTGTACCTTTTCACACCCACAAAAATAGCTAAAGTCAAAAAGATGACAACACCAAATATTAGCAAGGATATGCAAGCATTAGAACTCTCACTCATGGCAGAGGAATATAAAATGGTACAACTTCTTTGGGAAACTCTTTGGCAAAGTCTCACAAAACTACACATACCCCTGTACCATGATCCAGAAATTCCACACCTAGATATTAACCCAAGAGAAATGAAAGCGTATGTCTGCACAAAGGCCTGTACCAGAATGTTCATAGCAGCTTTATTCATAATAGCCAAAAGCTGGAAATAACCCAAACGTCTGTCAACAGAAAAGTGGAAAATAATTGTGACTTACTCATACAAAAGAATACTACTCTACAATAGAAAAGGAACTAACTGCTGCTATACATAACATGGCTGACTCTCAAAAAAAATTTTTTTAATTATTTTGAGTGAAATAAACCAGGCACAAAAGAGTATATGTACTGTGTGAGTTCATTTTAGTAAATTTGAAAACAAAACTATTAATAATCTGTGGTGACAGAAACCAGAACAATGCTTGCCTCTGGTTTGGGAAGAGGGGATTGGTGAGAAGAAGCATGAAAGAACTTTCTGGGGTGATATCTTGGTTCGAGTGGTAGCTATATTCTTATTAAAATTCATTGAATTGCACCCTTAAGATCTATACATTTCCCCATAAATAAATTTTATATAAAAATATAATTGTCATAATACAGGATATATAAAATTAAAACCATCAATTCAATATTTAAAAACAAAGTACAGCCTTTGACCCAAGTGGTTGTGTCCTCATTCCATAGGTTATTAGCCTGTGGCCCTAAACAAATTACTTTACCTTCTGGATCTCAATTTACTTGTCCCCAAAATCAGGATAATTATGATACCTAATTCATACTATTATTGGAGGAGGCATATAAAGTGCTTAGCACAATGCCTGGCAATGGAAACCATTGTATTATTTATAGCTGCCATGTTACTATTTTCATTGTCCTCATAATTGTCATCATCAATGTCAC